ACTCTGCAGCCTTTGGGAACCTACTGGGTGATTTTAAAGTCAGACTGTGTGGATTATAGCCAGACTGCTGATGTGGGGCGGCACCTGACGATCTGGGTAATGGCCCTTCGGACACCGGCCTCCCACAGACCTGAGTAGCTGCTCCTCCTGTTGAGTGCAAACAGATTAATTGATGGCTGAGGTATTATTTACTTTTCTCTGATATCTGCAGATGTGTGAGCTGGCAAAGGATGGACTGATTTTAATTGACGGGCGCTGTAGTGGTTCGTGTAAAAACATTACTGATGGGGAGAAAAAAATCAGCAGTTTCTGCTGCCTGTTGCGTAACAGAATTGGTGTCATTTTGTGGAAAATCTTCAGTTTTATAGCTGTTTCTTGAGAGGTCAATGGACAAGCTTGTACTTGGAGAGCATTAGATACAGCACGGACACACACATTGTATCTTAAACACTGCATCTTCTCATCAAATAACCCTATAGAACTGTAGTGTGTCAGTGCCCTGCAGTGCACTGGCTTCCCATCCAGGCATTCAGCCTGACCTTCACCTGATTCCCGTCAGGCTGCGTGTGGAGCTCGTCTGGATGGACAGTCTTGACTAGTCACCATTTAACCATGATTTTGAGTGATTTTTCAATGTAAATTTGGTCCATGGATCTTACATGAGCAGTATGCTGGACGATGTCAAACGCGGGAATCCAGGGAATGATGGGGTTAAAATGGCCCCAGGAACCTGCCTGTTCTTCATCTCTCTAGTGTTGTCGTTTTTAATAAGTGGGCATCTCCATTGCTGGAGCAGACGAGTCCAGTGCGTCCTGCTCTTCGAAGCCCGGACCATTATCCCGGCGTCGTTTTCCCGTGCACACGGGAAATCCACAGATTTGTACAAACAAATGTTTCTGTCGGCACGCCGCTCCTTCCGTTTGCCCCAAAGGCAGCGTGTCCCTCTTTCGGCAGTTATATCTCTCTGTCACTGAGCTTTCCAAACATCGGGAGCTGTGTACCGTTAGGAAAAAAGCAATTTCTTCTGGCAAGCAAAGAGGGGGATCTCTTACTTCCGGACGAGGACATAACAAGCCGAATGTGGAAACCGATCCAGTGGCACCTTGTTTTTTCCCAGTATCTAATCAATTAGCAAAGAGAGGGGTGAGCTCAGTAATCCGAAGCGGTGCTGGTGGACCGGGCAGGTCCTCACCTTTGATCGCTCTATTATAGCTAACAGGTCAGATAACTGGGACTGCATGCAGACCTAGACTTGCTGATTGCAATAATGGACCACATTTCTGAAGTCTCAGTCCATGTCTTTCCTGTTGTGTTTTATCCTTAGTCTGTAGTACACCCTCTTGCCCCCCCCCCCCCCACTTGTACATGTACACACCCAGCTCCTCAGTGACCTTGTCTGTGGTCATGTTGAAGCGTCTGAGGTGAAACATCATTCAGCCTTAGCCTTGGTGCCATTTCTGATTTGCGGATCTACTCTGCAGAGAGTGCTGCTGTCATATTGGGCCCTGCGCTACATAAAGCAAGCGAACCAGAACCAGCCGGACACTTTCCGGTAAAATGGCAGCCTTAGTTCTGCCCGGCTTTCCTGTTTGCTCGAGCGTAGAGGTACGCTTGAAGCGCCGAGTGACGGAGTAGCGTTAGGTTTCTGAGGTTTGGTTTGAATGGCTGAGAAGCTCTTTGCCCATAACTCACCCGTAATTCAAACATGAGAGCACTTGGTGTTGGGGGCAGTTCAAGTCGGTCAGCTCCGGCGCGTCTTCAGGCTCATGGTCATGGTTGACTGTTCTGTATTTTTACCATCTTATCTCATTTCTCCCTGCGTCTTGGGCACCTCAGATGTTGGCCTTCCTCTTCTCCCTTATGTTCCTCCCTCTCTTGCCGAGTGTATGCCAAAGTCAGATAGCATGTTAACCGGTTTGCGTCGTCATGCTCGACATCTTCGATGGGGCCCGCGGATGTCTTTACACTGCCTCTCATGGCGCACAGGTGACGATCACAGCGCACGGCATGGCACCTGTTAGCTGCCCAGACTTGACCACTCAGAAGCACTAACAGTGTTGTGGTCTACGACCTGCCAGCGTCGTTTTGGGGCGTCGCCAGGCAACCGCAGAATGACTGCAAATGAATGCTGATGTTCAGCAAGCATTGATGGGACACTGCTAGTACAATTTTTCCATTTTATGTAAAAATGGAAAATTTGTCCTGTTTTATTTAATGCTTTTATTTTCACGTTTGACAAGCTAATTCATTAGACCATACGGGGGAACACTTCAAAGCCCTAAGCGAAATTCTCATTCAGGTCCTATCAGATAAGTATCAGTGTATATCGATAGATGTGTTTGTAACCATAATGGTATCGCATCCAGTGTCATGCTCACCTGCAGCCCGGTCTCCTGCTCTTTCTCTGTGTCCCCTTTGGTTGATCAGAGAGTGATCATCACATCTCATTCTTCTCCCCTTCCCTCACATCTATTTCAGCTAATTAAGGGCCGGATTAGTAGTTAATTAGCTTGATGAGTAGGTCATTGTGTTCTTCAGAACATCTGTCCTTCAATCCTTATTCTGCTGGGCAGTCGCCCTTCACTTTGAAGAATAAAACAAAAAACTGATACTGTTGTTTTTGTTTCTTTTGATGCAATTTGATCCTCAAGCAACTATCAAATTTTCTCATTTATACTGTTTTATGTGTTTATACAGCTGAATCAGCATGTCAACTAAAGCAGTTCAGACTCTCTCTTGGAGCTTAAACCAAGATCTCCAGGTCACACACAAACATCCCAAACTATTAAACTTTTATATAAAAGTGCTCCAATTAGCCTGGAGTCTTACCCTTAATCTCACTGTGCAAAGGGAGGTTGTACTGAGAAGGTAACTGCAAAAATGACAGGCGGGTATGTTAGTCCGTCAGCAGAGGACTCCCGGCCCAACTGTGGAACCTTTGTCACGAACAGCATGACAGAGAAGCAGCAGTTTTTGTTTCCTGGAAAATTTCAACCTCTTACATCATCAAGCCGTTTTCCTCCCAGGCATTTGAGTAGATTCATGCAGTGTGCAAAGCGGGGAGTTCAGAGCGGTGAAACGCTGCAGCGGGATCCAGGCTGCGGGCAAATGGGAACCTAGAATCATCTGGAACTGTTATAGATTACAAATGTGGAGTGTATATGGCTGTCAATGGAGAGGTTTTACCACCCTGGGAACAATGGGGGTGGGGGGGTGTTCAGCCCTGTAACTTAAGCTTTTGATGTTTGGCTCTCAGATCGTTAATGAATTCTGTAGCTCTGATGGGAATCAGATTAAGATTCTGTTATTACAGTCATTTTCGTACAGTTATTGCTATTATGCGTGTTTTGTCAGTTCCCTGGGTTCAGCGCGTCCGCCGTTTCCAATCTTCTGCAAATGGAGGTACGTTCCAGTAGAGCGGCAGCATTTAGCTGCTCATCTCACCTGACTTCATCACTCTGCAGAGACGGAGATGATGAGGTGTGCTGCGGCTCTATGACCTCCTGGGGCTGCTCGGATGTGAACTCGTGCAGGCCGCCGGTGATTGTACACACAGATTCGGCCTGATCGTGGAGGTTTTTGGATGGGATGGTGCCAATGGCAGATTGAGACCTGAGCACATCTGGCATATGCGCCAGGTAAGGTAGAAGCAGAGAAAAATGGGATTAGGTGCCTGGTCTTGGAGATTTCCTGAGCTCCACTGGTACCTCTGGCACTATGAGGAGCCTTCAGGAAGTTGTACTTCTGCAAGGACGCACCTTCTTGAGTATCCTAATCCTTCAGGAAGTTGTACTTCTGCAAGGACACACTTTATTGAGTATCCTGATCCCATCAGGTGGAAGCCCAATATGAACCCCCATGCCAGAGACGTGATGAGGTAGAAATGCTGCAACTATACTGTCAGAATTTGGCTTGAGACCAGTACAAAATTCTGCGCTCACATGACCCGAGAGTATTCTACAAATCAAGTACATTATGCTCCAGAGTTTGTTGAGTCTATAGCTGTATTCTTTGGAGAATAACCTGAGCATATAACATCTTCCTCCATTTCGATAGCAGCCTATCTGCTGGCCTCTCTTGCGCCCCCTGCTGCCACCAGCCAGCCCGTTTGCTGCGTGGGGACTACGTGACGCACCCCTTTACGGGTCTGTTTACCACCGTCACCCTCGAGTGAAGTGCTTACCCTGAGCCGTCATAGTGAACGGGGTGCCGTAAAAATGGGTTGAGTATAAAATTGAGTTGCCATGGATACAAAAACCTGCTGAGCAAATAATGCATCCCAGAAATGCCTTTTGTACTATGCTGAGACTCTTTTTTTTGCCTTGAAAGTATTAACAGCTGTAAAAACTGTATTATTTCCATAATTCTACTGAAAAATGTTAATTGAGTATATTTGAGTCTTGTGATGTTATATTAGCATTTTACATTTTACAAACTTCAATAAGAATCCCAAGTTCAGTGGTGGCATAACAGGCGTTGCTCCTCGTATCACATCCTTCGTTACTATTCTGATTTCATCCCTGGCTCCCGAGGTGTGGCATCTGCGTTTTCTGTACTTTATGGGGTCTGTCGTTTTGTTCGTGTCGCTCATGTGTGGGCGTGTGCCTATGCATGCTCAAGTGGCTTCCTAATTGGATAAAGGGTTGCTGATGGTGGATGGGTCAGCTGCTCCCAGGGTTATGGGCAGTGTACCTGGCCGGGCCGTCGCCAGTGAGCGGCTTAGGTTTTACGTCACAGCTCGGCTCCTGCCGAATCGCGCTCTGCGTCTCCAGGATCCAACCTGCTGCCTTCCTGCCTCCCCGCCCGCAGTCGGGGTGGAGCAATGGAATTTTCTGAGGTCCGGCCAGCTGGTCCTCACCAGCATATTCCTGTACTACATCTTAGGCTCACAATGTCCCTTCAGGCTGCAGCTGAGGTCTTCATGTCGGACATACCCCAAGGCAGAGGTCTTCACCGCCTATCCTAGTTGAAGCTGAGATGTTTCCCCTGTGTTTGATTAGATCCTGACCAATGGTGAGACCTACACCCAAGAAGATGGCCTCCGAGAACCTGCTCCGGAGCTACTCCATAATTCCCTGCTTCATCTTTGTTGAGGTGAGTCCCTGCACAGACAAGATGGAAAGGATCTTAATTTTGCTTTGTGTGGTGACTTCTCCCAATCCCAGCATCATCCAAATTGGGATGTCTGTCCTTTTTTGCCGCCCCTGGTGTTCGTGAAAACCAGAAAAGTCTGGTTAAGTTGATTCCTGTCTCCATGGAGATTGGAGCCCTCTGCTTGTTACTGACTTGCTTGCCGGTCGACAGACATTTGTGGATTTTCGCGATCATTCTCTTCACTCGCTGACTGAATTTTGAATATTTCGGTGCTTTGCATCTTTGTGCTGTTGTGTTTAGTTAATGATGGAACCTGAAACGACAGCATGTTGATCACCATGGTGTAGTAATTTGAGACATAGGAAAGGTTCTTCTACAGTCATGTGTTCAGGCCACATGGTGCATTTGCGTGTGTGTGTGTGTGTGTGTGTGTGTGTGTGTGGTTCTGTGAGGTACCTGCTCAGGGACAGTCTGAAGCCTCTCTTGTGTGTTCAAGAGGGAAACTAAACTCCGTCGCTAAGCCGTCGCCAATCTCTTTGGAGAAGTGAGACTTATAAATTGCGAACTTGCTAATCTGTTTCAGGTCTTTAGTGTGTCTGTATACATCAGAGGAGCACGCAGGGCGGACAGGCTGGTTAGAGTCCTGAGCAAATTCGGTTGTGTTTATTTTGTATAGCTTCCGCCTTAACACGGTCTCCCTGAGGTGCATAACCAGGAGGAGAACATCAAAAATCACAACAGTTATAGAAATCCAGAACATATGGATGGATGGATGATTTCCTGGGTTGTGTTGTGAGCCGCTGACAGTCAGGAACGTGCAGTCAGCCCTTTGACCTGTAGGAGCCTGGTGCAGGTTCCCCGGCTCACGCCGCAGTGAGGCGTGCTACCTTCGACGTGCCCGGTTCTCTGTGAGCTACAGACAGGTGATGTATGATCCCGGTTCCCAGCTTATTCTTGGGCCGCTTCGTTCCGCTGGGGAGATGGACGGCTCTGCCGTGTTCTCGCGCGGCGTCGGCGGGCTTGTGCTGAGTGCGGCGTTTTGGTCCCGCCGCTGTCAGGCCGGCTCTCTTTATAAATAGTTTTTCATTAACTGAAGACATCTGGCCCTTAAGAAGATAAAGAGGAACATGTTTGAAGGTTTATTTACAGGTGCTGCTGGTGGTGCATAGACCGCATAGACATTCGCCGCTTCTCACAGGAGCCAGAGAATGTTACTGAAGCCCCCCCCATCCCCCCCCCCCACCCCCCGGAGTGCTTTTAT